CTCAACTCGTCGTGTTTGGAGGACAAAGAATGCTGAGTTGCATCCAAAGAACACCATCCCTACTGTGAAGCATGGGGGTGGAAACATCATGCTTTGGGGCTGTTTTTCTGCAAAGGGACCAGGACGACTGATCCGTGTAAAGGAAAGAATGAATGGGGCCATGTATCGTGAGATTTTGAGTGAAAACCTCCTTCCATCAGCAAGCGCATTGAAGATGAAACGTGGCTGGGTCTTTCAGCATGACAATGATCCCAAACACACCGCCCGGGCAACGAAAGAGTGGCTTCGTAAGAAGCATTTCAAGGTCCTGGAGTGGCCTAGCCAGTCTCCAGATCTCAACCCCATAGAAAATCTTTGGAGGGAGTTGAAAGTCCGTGTTGCCCAGCGACAGCCCCAAAACATCACTGCTCTAGAGGAGATCTGCATGGAGGAATGGGCCAAAATACCAGCAACAGTGTGTGAAAACCTTGTGAAGACTTACAGAAAACGTTTGACCTGTGTCATTGCCAACAAAGGGTATATAATAAAGTATTGAGAAACTTTTGTTATTGACCAAATACTTATTTTCCACCATAATTTGCAAATAAATTCATTAAAAATCCTACAATGTGATTTTCTGGATTCTTTTTTCTCATTTTGTCTGTCATAGTTGACGTGTACTTATGATGGAAATTACAGGCCTCTCTCATCTTTTTAAGTGGGAGAACTTGCACAATTGGTGGCTGACTAAATACTTTTTTTCCCCACTGTATATTTTGAATTGTTTAACACTTTTTTGGTTACTACATGATTCCATATGTGTTATTTCATAGTTTTGATATCTTCACTATTATTCTACAATGTAGAAAATAGTAAAAATAAAGAAAAACCCTGGAATGAGTAGATGTGTCCAAACCTTTGACTGGTACTGTAAAGCAAAGCTCAGCTCACTACATTAAATTACAAAATTTAAAGCCCATTTCATAGAGAATGTTACAAACTGGACTATATTTAGTAACTTACTTTGAATAGATGATAATTGGGTCTAAATAGGGGTTTGGCAGTCTAAATTCAGTGTACTTGTACTTGTCTTTAATGGGCCCCGTGTAACTCAGTTGGTAGAGCATGGCGTTTGCAACGCCAGGGTTGTCGGATCGATTCCCACAGGGGGGCCGGTATGAAAAAAATTAAAAGAATGTATGCACTCACTAACTGTAAGTCGCTCTGGATAAGAGTATCTGCTAAATGACAAAAAAATAATAATAATGTTGATATGTTGTAAATATTTTATTCTAAATAACATTTTCTTTGGAAAAATGCAGATATACTAAAATACTCTATCTTTAGTATTTTACAGATAGAAAGATTTAAAAGTATATATCCAATATTTTCCTCAGGACAAGTCCGATCCTGGAATGTTTTAACAAAAATAAACAAAAATATTTAGGCTGACTTCATCCAGTGTCCAGAAAAATGTATTTGCACGATATGCAACTATGTGCATATTTAATTAGATATCGCCTCATTTGTAATAAAACATTTCACAAAAATTGTAATACAAAAAAGTAGTATATTTGTGTCTACATTCAACTGGTAGAAGTTGATCGTGATATGATTAAGGGGGGGAAATTACCATATTAGGGTGTGGTGCCTGGACTTAAGCACAGGAGTTTATAGGGTATCAGCAAAAGACCTTGATCAATAATTTAAGGCCTGGTATATCAGACTGCAGAACTTTAGGGGTTTCAAAACTCACCGATTGATCTTTGGGTTGACACTAAAATAAAAACATTCATCTTAAGAGGAAAGAGGGGTTGTTTAAGCATAGGTTGCACTCCTGCTTTATTATAGAACAGTACTGCATGTGTTTGCTGAGCAAACAGTCTTGGGTAAATCCATTTGATTTCAATCACTTTTTGACAGCATCCCTTTTGATAAAAAAAAAGAAAACTTTCCCTACATGTTTTCCCATCGGAGAAGTGGTCAGAAAGCGACTTTTTGGACCTGAATGCCAAAACAATTGATATCAAAGGAATGCTGATATCATTTAAAAGCTTACAAGCATCGTTGTCTAACTACTTTATTATTTCTTGAAAAACATTTATTTTTATTTTTATAAAAATTGTCCTTTTTAAACCTTTAATGTAAATGATCTAAAAATGCATAAACTCCGATTTTTTCCTATTCCCATATGTTGTAGCTTTTTGACCCTATTTCAAATCATTTGAGGTTTTTATGTTTTGCCTGCCATCCGTTGAGACAACATGCTCTTGAATACAGAGTGGGTGTCATTTCAATCATAGAAATATAATTCATAGAACGGATTTACAGTATCCCTTCAGACCACTTCAATTTAGTCGGTACACTATTGACATTTTTACTTCTAATTATAACCACAAAGATGTCCACCGGTCCACCTACTGTCGAATGTAAGCTTAAATGGTCATGTCTATTCTATTATCTATATTTCTATGATTTCAATAGGTTTCCTATGTAGGATTGACAGTATCATATAAAACAGATATTCCCATTCAAGTCAACATGTGGACCTCTAACCATCTTTGTGGTACCATTTGAAAGTAAACATTTCCATTTTATTCCCATTTTAGTACATTTATCAGCCAAAACATGACACTCACCCTGTATTCAAGAGCATGATGTGTCTCAACTGATGGCGGGCACAATACAAAAACCTTAGATGATGTGAAATAGAGTCTAAGCTACAACATATTTGAATATTATTTATTTTTTAGTTTACACACTTTTAGATAATTGACATTAAAAGTTTAAAAATATATACTTTTTTATATATATTTTTTTTCTTCTTTTTTTTCAGAAATTATAAAATAGTTTGACAACCCTGTTGTTTGTAAGCTTGTAAATTATATACATCTCAACAGTTTATCTTTTCCAGTGATGAAGACATGGATGTCTCATGGTATGGTGGGGTATGCAAAATGGATCAACTTTGAGCACCTTTATCTCCTGAATGTTTTGACATTCAGGTCCAAAAGTCACTTTTGAGCACTTCTACAATGAGCAAATATGTATGGAAGCTTTCATTCAAATCAAAAGGGGTGCTGTCAAAAGATGATTGAATTCAAATGAATTGATCCGCCAACATTGCACTACTTGGATTCTGGATCTCTTTCTGTGAAATACAGGTTGTTGATAAGGTTCTGCCAATGCAAACTGAATCAACTGACACCCTACATTTCATTCAATTGATATATGAACTCATTTACTTGCAGGTTGGCACAAAGGCTGTGTCTAAGAATTACATGTTTAGCATTAATTGATGCCTGAGAAACCCTAATGGAAAACATTGGTCAGGGCATTTGTAAATCACATTGGACTGAAATGCCAGCCAGATTGATGAGTTGCTCAATCATTGTTTCCAGGTACCAGAGTCAACTCAAGATAGGTATTTTTCTGGGGAGTAAGCAGCATTGTGGGTAATTACCAGAGACTGGCTGATGACAGTGATGAAGTGCAGGGGCCGTGGGCAACAACATCTGAGCCGACAGCAGTCAATGAACCAGAGACACCAGTAGTGTGACGAGACAAAGATGTGCACAAGCAAGTCTTGTGTAAGCACTTCAATCAACATGTTTGCAAGATCTCCCACATTGCATTCCTCTTCACTCTAGAAGGTCTATAGATGCTGCAAATGCTACGGGAAGTGAGACAGCAATCATGATCAATAATGAAGTAAATTCAGGTTGTTCACTCTTGCACTTGAGGAGACAGGAGTTGACTTCTTGGAACATCCAAGATTTTCCTTAAGCGCTCTCCCTGTGGCCATTTTACAAATACCCTCAGGGCTTTTCCAAAGAGCTTCTAACTACAATATTTACCATTCATCAGAGTCCTCAATAGATTATTCAAGATCAACTTTACCCTAAAGGACCTCAGGACATCTGAGTGTTTCAAATAAACAGACATGGTTATTTTAGTAAGGGGACTGAAGCAGGGTACAAGGTGTGCACCTAACTCTGCTCACTGAACACCATTCAACATGCCAATGGCTGAATATATTTTTTAATACTGTTGTACAGACAACAAATTGTCTTCAGTTCTGTTGGTGAGCTGAGGATCCAGCAACACGACATTAGCAACTCAGATTTTATATGGAATATAGAACAAATATTTAATGTGCCCAATGCTCCATGAATTTGCAATGCCTTCACCCTGTTCATGTACTTATGCCTATATAATTTTGTATTAGAACAGAATACGATAGAATAAAATAATGTACTTATTGACTTCATAACATTAGTTTAACTAAAATAATTTATTGTGGGGGATCAAGGTATTTTATAAACTGCTTATTATGAAGACAATGTAGGCCAGCATCTTTAAGGTATCTATTAGGAAACTTTTGATAAAGCTCTAACTTTTTGTCACCAAGTAATACAAATCTGGGTAACACTTTACAACCTCTTCCTATGTTCTTATTAGGCCTATACTGTGTAAATATTCCTGCATAATAGCCAGGGCCGGATTACCGAACAGGTATGCAGGGCCAAACTCAGGGCACGCGCCCCCGACCCATGACAAAACGTTTAGAATTGCAGGAAATTAGCTTTGAAACTGCAACATTTTCTCTGAGCCTCATGACAAAATGTGTAGAATATAATTATAAAACTGCACATTTTTCTTTCTGCACCATGGCAAAATGTGTTGAAATACAGGAAGTTAGCTGAGAATCTGTTGTTGTAGCTGCTTAAATGTACCAAATAAATTATTAGTAGGCTAAGAATTGATGGAAAAACGTATTTAAATTATTAGTTCTCTGGGCATAGTAGCAACTTGCAGGAGTTGTCTTAAATCTCACCCATTCAGTGGACTCAAAAACACATTCTGGTCTAGATTATTATCTAGTTCTTAAATCGACAAAATCAACAAGAAGTGCATGCATGTTCTCTTGTGCAAGCACTCACTACTAATCTGAAGGGAATCGTGCCAAGATTGACTACTCTTGAGAAAAGCACTCCCCCTGACTCAACTTTCGACATCCAGTTCATAGTTCGCGTACCTTGAGACTATTGCATTTCCCTCTAAGTGTTGGCACTGTAGCCACTATAGAGTCTGAAGAACAGAAACACCTGGAGAAATCTGCGGATGAGATCAAGGGTTCCCTCTTTCGTCTTTGGCAGCACACCTCTAAACTAGATTTAAAGAGCGAAACACATTCAGTTGCCTCGTTTACCAACACTTCAGAGATGAGTCTTTTTCGGCCAACAATATTTAGTATGACTTTTAAAAATGTAATTATCGCAAATGTCAGACCAGACAATGGTATTGCTTGTAAAGGTTATTGCACTTTCCTTGCCATTCCAAATACCCGGAGCGAGAGAAGGCTAACGTTGGGACCGTTCAATTTCTATAATTCCTGGACAGCGACTGCGCAGCGTGAGTGGAGAGTTCTCTCATCTTTGTCAACAACTAACAAGCAACAATGTAACCGTTATTTCGCGCAACAATGTAACAGAACATACTCAACAAACAACAACATATACGACGAAGCTTTCAGAACAGCGAGGGATGACCCTGAAACGTTTTGGAGTGAAGCAGCACAGAATGTCACCTGGTTTGAGCCATGGAGCCGAACACTGGACAATGGGGATGCCATATTTCCAAAGTGGTAACTACTTACTTGATTCGTTTAAGTGCATCAATACCAATGAGGTGAACGGCAAATACGGGTTTGTTGCATAATGGTAAATACTAGTCATATTACAACCACTGGTAAAGTAACTGCATTCACTGGCAGTGCAAGTAGGCTACTATTAATTACATGGGAATTGTCCTGCATGTCATTTTCTACGGCAATTCATTTCAGTGCAATGTAGAATTCACTGTCAAGAGTTTCTAAACCTATAGGCGCAACAATGCGAGACTTCCGGGAACGCTTGCAAAACTGACCAGGCCGGGGTTTGAGATGTAAATGAGATAACTGAAAAAATCTTCCTTAGTTGTTAATTTTCTCGAAATCTTAAGGCACAAAGTAGATTCGAGCCAATGTTATTACTCCAACCTTGTGAAAGTGACAAACTGAAACGTTTTCATTTTCGTCAAAAATATATTGAAGGAGTGGCGTTGACGCCTTGCACATGACGTGTTCTGTGCACTACCGCCACCTACCACATTGGCGCTATACAATTTATCCTACTACTTGAAAGCGTTAGATGTTTGGACGATAGGTTTAGGTACACTGTACATACAGTTAGTCTATGACTATCCAATAGTGAAATATCATGCACTTGTACTTAATCATTAGATATTTTTTAATGGTCAGAATTAATTGTGTGCACCAAGGTCACATTATTAAACCATGCATAGCCGTCCGAAGTATTTGATGGCTGACCACACAAGATTAACCTTTAATTCTGCATGGTAAATATCCCCTATGCTCTCTAGATTGACCTCAGTGTTGTAATAGTGTTAGAATCAAGGCGTGGCTAGTGAGCAACTGTGCATGATGTCTCATCTTTCTGTGTGGGTGCATAATTAAAACAACAGGAACCCAGACACCATCTGCTTGTCTCAGCACCTCAGTACCTCAACAGAGCTCATAATGAGTTGAGACTCCCATTTCATCAAAATATCTGGCGTTGTAGACAGATCCTGTACGTTGCAGGAAAAACCGACATTTTTGTCTGTTCAGCCCTTATCTTATCAAACACGTTCTCTAAATGTAGACCTAGCTACTGTGCTTACTGTTAGCTTTGTTATTTCATAACATTGATACATCTATAGTGAACGTATTACAGTAGTTTTTTAATGGCTCTTAATGACAATATGCTGTCTCTAATGTTGGGTTTTCTCTGTGTAAGGTTTGGTGGGGGGAAGTTGAATGTTTGCCATAATGCAGTGGATCGCCATGTCGAGAGTGGACGGGGAGATCAACCGGCCATCATTTATGACAGCCCAGTGACTGGAACTAAGCAGATAATCACTTTTAGAGAACTACAGGAACAGGTAATAATCTTAACAAAACTTTTCACACTGTAGATATTTAATTAGAATGTAACCCCTTCCCCTCCTCTCTGCCCAGGTGTCCAGGCTGGCTGGGGTCCTGGTGAAACACGGGGTGTGGAAGGGCGACCTGGTGGTCATCTACATGCCCATGGTGCCCCAGGCCATGTTCACCATGCTAGCCTGTGCCAGGATCGGAGCCCCCCACAGCCTCATTTTTGGGGGATTCGCCTCCAAGGAGCTGTCTGTCCGCATTGACCATGCCAAGGTCAGCCTACCATCATAGCTTCACATTGTGTCTTTTTAGTTTGATGTGCTGGGATTCCTTCGTATTTTGCTACATCAGTGAAATGCAACAGTTTCAACATAATACTAAACATGTCAATTTAGTTTTAAATGGACCATGCACCCAAAATATATTTAGGATTGTCTCCACTGTCAGATCTGTTTAATGGTTGAATGGTTAAGTGTGAAATGTACATGCCACATTTATAGGACCCTTTATAGAAGAGTTGATGGTCCACTTTCACAGTCACATAGATAGTAATATTACAGTAGATAAAGGTCTCACTGAAGCCAAGTGAAGTATTTTGTTGGAGGGATTTCATCAAAGCAGCAGGGGATATTAGCCAGTATGCGACTCTGACACTGAATTGGATATACTGAAATCCTTTTAAGCTATATAAGCCAGACCTTAAAGCCGTTTAAGTTCTATGCCTACAGTATACAACCATTCAGAGAGGAGCACCTCCACCATGGCTGGGTAGAATTGATTAGCCTGTTTTATATTGGATTAGAATGAATGAAATATTAGAGACACTCATTCTATGTTGAATGAGACAGTAATTTCAGATCCCTTATTACATTTGATTAGTGTGCAAATAGTAATTGAGAGGTAAAATCGGTCATATTGACTTACAGTACATTACATAATCAGAACATGGCCTTTCAGAATGTTCTAAAGTACATTTCAGACTAATGCATTTGTTAAACTGTGTTGTATCACATCTCTTAGGTCTTGTTTCGTTTGTTATTTTTTAAGAGGCACCACTAACACACTGTGTGAATGCCGTGTCTTTCAGCCCAAGATGATAGTGACGGCCTCCTTTGGCATTGAGCCTGGCAGGAGAGTGGAGTATATCCCCCTGGTAGAGAAAGCCCTGGAGCTCAGCTCTCACAATCCCTCCAAGGTCCTCATCTACAACCGGCCCAACATGGTGAGGCCCATAGAGATAGAATACTGTTCTATGTTATGCTGTGGTAAGGCCTAACTCACTAACGTCAACTCTCTCAGAGAGATGCCTGTCATTTCCCAAAGACAATAGCTCTGTTGACATGCAATAGTTTTACATTATCCTCTCTAGCGGTTACGTAATGCTATTACTTCCTGAATAGACCACGAATCCGATTCCAGTGTATATAAATCAGATTATTTCAGCCGTGAGTTTGTATGGAGTTATGGATGGTTCGACAGATCTGTCGCTCCTAAACAGCCTGTTGAAACAAAGGTGGGAGAGAGAACCGGTGCACATGAGGTGTGTGAGTCAATGCTCAGTGAATGAAAATGCAAATGTGTGTGTTTTTTCCCCCCGCTGTGGGACTGAATCATGCAACGCTGAGATGGGTTCCAGGCCGTGGTGGGGAGCTTGGCACAGGGTCAGAGTGAAACCAGGCTGAACCGGTAGCATAAAATACAGTCAATTTCCTCCAAAACAGCCAGCAGCCATTTACAGTAATGTGTTGGCACTCCAGCAAACTGAAATGAGTTTCTTCTCAACTCGTACATAAAAACAGCCGAATCTGTGCTCAGGGAAATCAATCTAAAAATGCTTTGCCAGGTATTGCAATCACTCTCCTCAGGTAATCTTTCACGTCTATTCTATTAGTACCACTTACAGTGGGGAGAACAAGTATTTGATACACTGCCGATTTTGCAGGTTTTCCTACTTACAAAGCATGTAGAGGTCTGTAGTTTTTATCATAGGTACACTTCAACTGTGAGAGACGGAATCTAAAACAAAAATCCAGAAGATCACATTGTGTGATTTTTAAGTAATTAATTTGCATTTTATTGCATGACATAAGTATTTGATACATCAGAAAAGCAGAACTTAATATTTGTTTGCAATTACAGAGATCATACGTTTCCTGTAGGTCTTGACCAGGTTTGCACACACTGCAGAAGGGATTTTGGCCCACTCCTCCATACAGACCTTCTCCAGATCCTTCAGGTTTCGGGGCTGTCGCTGGGCAATACAGACTTTCAGCTCCCTCCAAAGATTTTCTATTGGGTTCAGGTCTGGAGACTGGCTAGGCCACTCCAGGACCTTGAGATGCTTCTTACGGAGCCACTCCTTAGTTGCCCTGGCTGTGTGTTTCGGGTCGTTGTCATGCTGGAAGACCCAGCCACAACCCATCTTCAATGCTCTTACTGAGGGAAGGAGGTTGTTGGCCAAGATCTCACGATACATGACCCCATCCATCCTCCCCTCAATACGGTACAGTCGTCCTGTCCCCTTTGCAGAAAAGCATCCGCAAAGAATGATGTTTCCACCTCCATGCTTCACGGTTGGGATGGTGTTCTTGGGGTTGTACTCATCCTTCTTCTTCCTCCAAACACGGCGAGTGGAGTTTAGACCAAAAAGCTCTATCTTTGTCTCATCAGACCACATGACCTTCTCCCATTCCTCCTCTGGATCATCCAGATGGTCATTGGTAAACTTCAGACGGGCCTGGACATGCGCTGGCTTGAGCAGGGGGACCTTGCGTGCGCTGCAGGATTTTAATCCATGACGGCATAGTGTGTTACTAATGGTTTTCTTTGAGACTGTGGTCCCAGCTCTCTTCAGGTCATTGACCAGGTCCTGCCGTGTAGTTCTGGGCTGATCCCTCACCTTCCTCATGATCATTGATGCCCCACAAGGTGAGTTCTTGCATGGAGCCCCAGACCGAGGGTGATTGACCGTCATCTTGAACTTCTTCAATTTTCTAATAATTGCGCCAACAGTTGTTGCCTTCTCACCAAGCTGCTTGCCTATTGTCCTGTAGCCCATCCCAGCCTTGTGCAGGTCTACAATTTTATCCTTGATGTCCTTACACAGCTCTCTGGTCTTGGCCATTGTGGAGAGGTTCGAGTCTGTTTGATTGAGTGTGTGGACAGGTGTCTTTTTTATACAGGTAACGAGTTCAAACAGGTGCAGTTAATACAGGTAATGAGTGGAGGACAGGAGGGCTTCTTAAAGAAAAACAAACAGGTCTGTGAGAGCCGGAATTCTTACTGGTTGGTAGGTGATCAAATACTTATGTCATGCAATAAAATGCCAATTAATTACTTAAAAATCATACAATGTGATTTTCTGGATTTTTGTTTTAGATTCCGTCTCTCACAGTTGAAGTGTACCTATGATAAAAATTGACAGACCTCTACATGCTTTGTAAGTAGGAAAACCTGCAAAATCGGCAGTGTATCAAATACTTGTTCTCCCCACTGTATGTTTGGAATGTATCAGAATGTCTGGGGCTTTGCACCCAGACCGTGAGTGCTGCTGTGTTACCTTTATGTTCAATTACCCTAGTAGCTATTTTTGATTATGCAACACAGGGAGGAATACTTTTAAGGTGATACGTTGTGTGTTGTCATGGAAACTGTCTGAGCAAATCACTACACCTCCCCTGTTGAAGAATAGTGAGAATATGAGATGCACCCCCTTTTTTTTGAGTCGTCGGTAAATTGCCCCTCTTATGAAACTTAAACCACTTTAGTAATCACTATGAAAAGGCACTTGTTGATTTGTGCACAACTAATGGCTCTGTTTTAATCTGTATTTTATGTCCACATGGTAAAAATGATTTGAATGTGTCTCTCTTGAATATGTCATGGAAATGAATGCATCTCTCCTGGTTGATTGTCTGCAACAGGAGAAGGTGTCCATGCATCCTGACCTCAGTCTGGACTGGGAGGAGGAGATGTCCACTGCACGTCCTCATGACTGTGTGTCTCTCCCTGCCAGCCATCCTCTATACGTCCTCTACACGTCTGGGACCACCGGCACTCCTAAGGTAAACCACTCTGACTAGACACAACACATGTTCATTACTGGAAGGAGTGTAAAGTCCCACCGGGAACAGACATCAGTTCAATGTCTAGGTTTGATTTACATTTGGTTGAGTTGTCAACTAACGTGAAATCAACATGAAATCAACAAAAAATGTCACCATGTCATTGGATTTAGGTTAAAAGTTGGGTGAATAAACATAAGAAATTCCCTTACATTGATGACTTTTTTCAAATCCAATCTGTTTTCCATTTTGATTCAACGTCATCACATTGCATTTTTGGTTGAAATGACATGGAAACAACGTTGATTCAACCAGTTTTTGCCCAGTGGGGTCTGACGACTTTTATCACAAAGAAACCAGTCAATTTCACAGTTTAATGCAAGAGATGAGTATCATATGCTGCAGTATACTTTCTATGGCTCTGCAAATGTGATTACAGTTCATTCTAAACTTTACCACCATGAGATAGATGAGACGGTGTTTAAACCAGAAACGGTAGTACTGAATATGAGGTGAACCATGCAGGAGGTTGAAAAATTGCCCAGAGGCGTATCTAAATTGGAAAAACACAGCTCCAGATAGCTCCCTTTGTCTTTGGCACCCAGGTAATATGAAATATCCACCCGCTGGCGAGGTCCTCCATTATAGCCTGCTGTTCTCTCAGACTCATAGTCACCAGTGAGATCTATGGAGGACACAGCTGAACTCATACAGGTTATATTACCATACATGTTCAAAAACATAGCAAAGATGGCCTGACAAAATAGTTGCCTTGAAAAGGAAAATAGTTTTTTTTCAGAGGTGATTTATACAAGGGTTTGATGTAAAATAAAAAACTAAACCTGTTGAGAGCTTGTTGCATTCGTCTTGCATCAACATTCGCCTCTTTTCTACGTCTCCCCCCTCAGGGCGTTGTTAGGGACACTGCTGGGTACGCTGTGATGTTGACGTGGACCATGACAAACATTTATGCCCTCAAGCCTGGTGAAGTAAGTCAATGTGAAACATCTCCATGTGTTCTTTATTATTGTATTACAGAACATATACCATATGCATGCACAAACATAGTACAGTATGCATTCTCTCATCTTTCTCTGCCTACTCTGCTAGGTATGGTGGGCAGCGTCTGACCTGGGCTGGGTAGTGGGCCACTCCTACATTTGCTATGCCCCTCTCCTCCACGGCAACACCACCATTCTATACGAGGTATGTACCGTAGCCTACAGTAGGCCTACTATAATGACGTGAACGGGTCGCTATTGGTCAATTGACTCCAGAAAAACAAGCAAACTCAACTTTCTCAAGGTCTTGTCCCTTTCACTCAGTGATTCCAAATGCTTCACAGATCACTCTATTTAAAGATAATGAGTGCAAGAAAAATGGACTCCTAATGACGCATGATTATATGTGGTTTCAGACGACCGGCCTCTTGATATTCATGCGCATGATCATCATTGCAAATTTACCCCGGCCTCATTAAACCAATATTCACTGGCTCGAAAGGCCCAGTTAGGTTGGTTTGTGGAAGTTATTTGTATGAAGAGCTGCTGGTGATTCTGCTGTGTTTGTGCCCTGGGCAAATGACCCCTGGGGTTGGGAGAGAGGGGTGGGGAGGTAGGACTGCACATGGAGGCTATCCACCTCATTAGCCTTTTGGTCTCTGTGGCTGCTGTAGGATTGGTGGTGGGGGTTGAATTCATCAGCCAAGCTTTAACCAAAGCATGTTGTCTGTGGCTGTGTTTGTCTTGTGGAATGCACTGCTCCTGTCTACCATGCTCCACACAAGACCTTCTGTCGTCTCACTGATCAATACACAGTCACAAATATTCACAAGGCCCTCGGGTCTGTTGTTGTTTTCCCAGCTCATTTTAATCTGGCCCTCTCTCTCTCTCTCTCTCTCACACACCTCTCTCTCTACTTACTGTAGTAGCCACCTCGCCGACTGAACCTTTAGAGAATTAATATCGGTTCCGCTCGACCATGGGCTCTTCCTCACTACGACTTTTGTTGGTGCACAATACTTTCTCAATAGAGTAATCGTGTTATTTTCATCAGTTTCAGCTCATCTGTCTGCAAGGCTGAGCTCCAAATATAATTTTGTCTCTTCATTCTGTTCGCAGAGTGAAAGTGTTAATGTAGTGGAACGTCACTTTTCACTGCGTAGGACTGCTCACTCGCCTTCCTCTCTTTCCAATAGGAACAAAACTTTATGGCCTTAGCACTGTTCTTCTGTTTGATAGTTGGCTGGCTGTGTCATTACTACCGCAAGCTTTTGTAAAAACAGCTTGCTCTGAATGTGCCGCTACACTTCAATACCCAATTGGCGTGCTCATGTAAGCTTATGTCCTCAGGCTGTTTGGGTTTGTAACAGATCTCTCTCTCTCTCTCTCTCTCTGCAGGGCAAGCCTGTTGGGACGCCGGATGCCGGGGCGTTCTTCCGCGTCCTGTCAGAGCATGGTTGTTCCTCCATGTTCACCGCGCCCACTGCCATCTGAGCCATCCGCCAGCAGGACACCCAGGCTGCCATGGGGGCATCAGTACCCCCTCACCAGGTACACTCACCACCCAATCCCCACATACTGACATAACACTGCAGAGATGGACCATTCAACAACTGTCATGGCTAGCTCTGTTTTGTAGCTTTTCTGCCCACTTGAAGTAGGCCTACCCTTTATTCCCAATAAAGGAGTGTTTTCCTATTAACGTCCAGGGACTGGATACCTTTCATCCATATCCAGTGTTGTCCCCCACTGGGTGAAGGTTTTGGCGCTGCCTGCCCACTCTCTTGTTAGTCTCTGTCCATCTGCTGGAGCAGTGTCCCTGCCATGCCCAGGCTCATCACTCAGGACCTGTGTTCTCATTTAGACCTGATTGAGGTTTAATCAGGATAGATAAAACACAGTGGCAGGGCATTCATTCCTATTAAATCATTCTGTGCTGCTGCCACGCTGCTAAACACACAGGGAATCACTGAGTGCTGTAGAGAGCCCCAGGCAACGCCATCTTTGATGGTGCCTGGTTCCATGGACTGAAGTGATTGTTATCCCCATGGGAAATGTCATAATTTATATTGATAATAAATCTGTTGAAAATACAGTTTTGGTTCCTTAATATTTTGAAACAGTATCACAGTCGAGCAGGTATAATGTGAAAATAGAGGGGAAGTGGTGATAACTCCACTTATTTAGATTTTTCCCCACACCTGTTGCACGCAGTCATAAAGCAGGGGTCTTTGACCTTTGGTTATAGTTTGCCATTTAATCATCTGTATGTGGGGAATTTGAAGGTATTTTGTGTGCTGTTTGTGAACAGTGTTTTGCCTCGACTGCTCCAGCCAGACCTGAGACACAAATCCCAAAGGGATTGAATTCATTGTTTTCCCTGGACTTTAACATGACATTCTTTCTGCTAGTTGTTATGATGGACTATGCTTCAGTTGTTGGTTTAGTCATGTGCCATGCAACATCTTTCCATGACTGTCTTTCTCCCATAGGGAGCAGGTTAGTGAAAGACTACTGCAATTCACTGAGAGAGAATTGAGGCACAAACACAACAACAGCAATGAAATATAGTTTGTTTCCAGAATCCAGACAGACTCAGACAGTAGTTGAATATCCGGTTGACCTTTGTGTTTCCTTGCCTGGAGACAAAACAGACAACCATCAAATGTATTCTTCTCACTCCTCTACTACCAAACAGGAAGCAGCATTAACAGTCTGGGGGCAGGAAGCAGCAGACACTAAACGTGTTATTTGACAGCTCAGGAAATTGGATGTTCTCAGTGAATGTAAAAAGAACGCAGTCCAGTAAAGTTGAATAAAATAGCAAATAATGTCAATTAAAACGTCAACTCTATTTCCCCTCTTTCTCATGAATTGATTATAAACTTGTAGTTTGAATTGAAAGGCAAGCGTTTTGAGAACACATCATTAAGTATTAAGACACTCAAATGTTCCTCAAAGGACTCTTGCCTTAATTCACGCGTGGATGGTTGCTCCTATGAACTGGTTGTTGCTGCTATCTCCTCAGTGTATATTGCACCACTATCAGTAGGCCATAGATAGTTCAGTAGTAATATGATGTGGGTGCCGTAGCCCAGGGGTGGATAGCATATGAAATATTCATCACTCTCGCTCTCTGATAAGCTCACTGCAGTAGCCTCTTCTCAGCTCCTAGCTCAGTTACGCCACATGCGTAGCTAATTGCACCAATTCCTGTGCTAAAATATATCACAGAGCCCATAGTAATTATTGCCGCCTGTGACACAGCCTGGGGAGAAGCCACTGCCATGGACCAGAGCTAATAGGGTCTCCGGGTACAGAGGGTCAGTGAGGTAGAGTAAACACTTCAAACTTAGGCTTTATTACACAATTTACCAACATAAATGAGGTTTTATTACATCACTTACCAACAGAAATGCTTACAAATAAGAAATGTAAAGTATTTCTTCAAATAACAAAGGTTATCTTAAACTGAGCATCTTTCAGCCCCAACCTGTCTGCTGCTATCTCCAGTCATCTCCCTCGAGTGCGAGCAGCAGCAGCCTAATCAACTGTTGGGACTGATTGTCCAGCCAAGCACACACTTGATTGACTTATTATCCTCAGCTGGACTCCATTAGCCTCCCAACAGGGAAGGTGCCGGAAAGGCGTTGGGAGGATAGATAGGTCCAGTACAGTAGGTAGCGGTGTATGCACCTGTCAGTTGGTTGCGATTCGCCCAAAAAACAAAGAAGAAGAAGGCGCTGGAAGGGCACGGCAAGAGTGCTTGCCTCCTCCAGGGCCACAAAGCCATTATGAATGCACTTTCCTATGTGCTGCTTTTCAGAAAGTCAGATTTGCCTGTGTAGCACTTTCCAAGTGTTGCAAGGTGCAGACGTGCCAAAACCATAAAATTGCAATTTTCAGGCCAGTATTTCATCCACTCTGGGTACTTCACGATGACTATTGTTATTACGACACATGAGTTGCTTCCGTGGAATGGTTCTGCACTGTAATGGCCTTGGAGCATTATCAGCGAGCTTGAGCGATTTCACTCGTCACCCCAGATGTCAGAAAAATAATAGAAAAGCGGGTTTGGAGCTCTCTGTAGGAGCAGCGTCTTGCTGTACTGTTCAACCCACCCAGATGAACAATTACAGCACCATGGAGCAAGCACCATTTCATAGCCCTTATTAACATAGCCCGGAGCACTAACTCAAAATGGGTGACAAAGTTCATGACTTCAGTCAATAACATTTTCCAGCTTGTAGCACCAGGAAGCTTGGCTCACTGACTTCTGGCTTGTGACTCACTCTGCCTGTTTGCTTAACATTTGCAGGATTTATATCATGCAGTACTTGGGATATCATGTGCCATCTTTCAAGGAATATATGTGCGGTTGATATACATTCTCATTGCACATACGCAGCCACACACACACACAAGCACACACACATACACACAAGCACATGCACACTAAACACAATTATGGGGGCGAATGTTTCCACTCATTGTTGTTAATGAGACGCAAACTTCCCCAGTGGGACTATGTTAGGTATAGTACTGTGGGACTATTGTTGCCTGTCCAAGGCTGAATCTGGGCCTCTAAAGATATGGAGAAATGTGCTAGGCCTTCACCCACCCACTTGTATGAATTACACACAGATCCAACCATCCAAGGCTGCCTGTCTCCCCCCTCCCCTCCCAACATCTGTGGTCAGATTGTTCCAGAGTAGGAGCAGGGAACTCAGGGCAAGGTGACACGGGTGAAATTTAAATTTAAATTGGCGTGCTGTGTAGAATATGGAGCGAAGAGCAGCAGAGTGATTCTCTGGATGTTATGTAGAGATATGTGACCCTGCTTCTTCTACCCATTCTCATTTAGATTACACCAAGACCCTCACCCTGACCCAGATAACAGACCAATCAGAGGAGGATGGTGGGAGAAGCTATAGGAGGACAGGCTCATTGTAATGACTGGAATGGAATGTACAGCATGGAACGGAGTCAAACATGTGGTTTCCAGATGTTTGATACTGTTCCATTGATTCCATTCCAGCCATTACAATGAGCCCATCCTCCTAAAGCTCCTCCCACCAGCCTCCTCTGAGGCCTATGTGAATTAGAATTCCTTGAGTTGTTATGTGTGGAACGAGGCCATGGAAACTGTATGGCAGCAAGTGAAGTCTTCTCTGCTTTATCAGACCATGTCAAGGTCCCTGAGTGAAGATTAGCATGGCTTTATCTGTATAACCACAGCTGGAGGGGGATTTTTACTTACTCAGATCAACAGAAACAATATGGGCTGTTTTGTGTACACGTTTTTGTGCAAGTTTGAGACTCGTAAGGCAATTATTGTCTAATGGGAAAACTCTAGCTTATTGTTCTATTCACCCTGCCACTGGCGCAACTCACTTTTAGATTACTTGAAAACACTTCAAGGGAAACACTGGTAGGGAATCATTGTTGTGTTAAGAAAATTGTAACATTCCTTGGCTGTTATATTGTTTGGGTGATTCGAGCTGTGAATGCTGATTGGCTGAAGCTGTAGACCATATATCACGGGTATGACAAACCATTTATTTTTACTGTTCTAATTACGTTGGTAACCAGTTTATAATAGCAGTAAGGCACCTCTGGGGTTTGCGGTATATGGCCAATATACCATGGCTAAGGGCTGTATCCAGGCACTCCATGTTGCGTCGTTCGTAAGAACAGCCCTTAGCCATGGTATATTGGCCATATACCACACCCCCTCGGGCCTTATTGCTTAATTATAGATCTACCACTACTCTGTTACACTGTACTGGCCTATAGAGCTTGACTGTTTTCTCTGCTCCTCCAGATTGAAGAGCCTTTTCTTGGCTGGAGAGCGCTGTGACGTGGAGACTCTGAACTGGGCCAAAAGGAGCTTTGGCGTTCCTGTACTGGACCACTGGTGGCAGACTGGTAAGACTTTCATTAGCTACTGGAACCTCACAATGGATGCTACATATTACACTAGGACGATGGTTAGTTTTCTTGATACCGGCTATGGTACTACATCTGACCCACTAAGTGCAGTGCTAAGAAGAAGAATTAGCCCACAATGATTTGGGGCTGCTCTTCTCTTGTCCTAGAGTGCCCTAAGGCTTTCACTATACTCCCACAGCCACCCAATTAACTTAATCAGCTTCTCAATCTAACCTCATTAATACTAGTAATTTCAAAGCAGTTCATAATTCATAGACCATATGCTATGGTCTAGTACAGGGGTGTCAAACATCCGGCCCGCGGGCCGGATCAGGCCCGCAAACGGGTTTAATCCGGCCCGCGAGATGATTTTGTAAAGTATAAAAATGAGCTGCAATTTTTCAATAAAAGAAACTGCTGTTCCAATTGTGTCCACTGGATGGCGCAATAGCAATTGTGTTAAGCAAGCAAACTGTTTATACCAGAGCAAATAGGTCAAGCAAGTGCAGCCAGTCCGGATGACTACTTTGTTTTGCCCGCGATATTTATTACGGCTTCTACTTTTAACATTATGTGCTTTGGCACCCTCATTGCCCCAATATGTCTCTGTCAAAAAAGAGAAAAGTGGATGCAGAGTGCAGAGTGTTCCAAGAAAAATTGTCATCCTTCTATTTATTCACGGAATTGAATGGGAAAGCTGTATGTTTGGTGTGTTCACAGCATGTTGCAGTGCTGAAAGAATATAACCTTCGTTGCCACTATGTGAGTCTGCATGCCGACAAATATGACAACTTTCAAGGACAGCGGAGAAGAGAGAAGGTGAATGAACTGTTGGCGGGTCTGAAGAAACAGCAGTCTGTGTTTACTCACAGCCGAGACATCAGTGACGCTGCAGTGAAAGCTAGCTACGTCATTGCTAATGAAATCGCAGTGTCTTCAAAACCATTTAGTGAGGGTGAATTTGTAAAAACATGCATGATGAAGGCAGCGGAGATTGTGTGCCCTGAAAAGCACCAGGCTTTTGCAAATATCAGCCTGACAAGAAACACAGTTGCAGACAGGATTTCCGATCTTTCAGTGGATTTGGACAGCCAGTTGAAGCAAAAAGTAAAGTAATTTATTGCGTTTTCGGTTGCAATTGATGAAAGCACGGACATTACAGATGTTGCACAACTGGCCATTTTCATCCGCAGAGTTGATGACACATTGACCGTCACCGAGGAGTTCGTGGAGTTGGTGCCGATGACAGATACAACGACAGCAGCTGATATTTTCACTGCACTCGTCAGCGCGCTGGACAGGGTCGGAGTGGACTGGTCCCGCGCTGTCAGCCTGGCTACAGATGGTGCGCCCTCAATGATCGGGAAAAAAGCAGGCGTTGTGACAAAGTTCAGAGAGAAAGTGCAATCTGCAAATGGAGGACGTGATTTTTGGACTTTACACTGTATTTTGCACCAGGAGGCTTTGTGTTGCAAGTCATTAAAGATGGATAACGTCATGAAGGTGGTTATTCTTTTTATTATATTATTATTATATTATTATTATATTATTATTATTATATTATCCAAACTGTTAATTTCATCCGATCCAGAAGCCTGAATCAACGTCAGTTTGACAGCCTTCTCAGAGAGAAAGACCACATCTATGGCCTGCCATACCACACTGAGGTAAGATGGTTAAGCCGAGGTGCTGTGCTGAGGCGTTTCTTTGATTTACGAGAAGAAATTGAACAGTTCATGGAAGAAAAGGGCAAACCAGTGTTAGAATTTCATTCCGCAGAATGGATGGATGCAGGACCTTGCATTTATGGTGGATGTTACAGAGCACCTGAATAACTTGAACAAACAGCTGCAAGGGTGCAACAAAGTTGCCACGCAGTATTATGACAGCATACGTTCTTTCAAGTTGAAGCTGTCATTGTGGGAGACGCAACTCGCCGGTGGTGATGCAGCTCACTTCCCCTGTCTAAAAAATGTGTGCGCGACCCAACATGTGGCAGACATGAAGCGGTTCAAAGATAAAATAACGGGACTGTTAAGGGAGTTTGAGCAACGCTTTCAGATTTTTGGTGAACTGGAGAAAGACTTCAACGTTTTTTGTTCGCCATTAACCGTGAATCCCTATGATCTGCCCGTCAGCATCCAACTTGAAATAATATACTTGCAGTGTGACTCGGATTTGAAGGGCAAATTTGCCGCAGCTGGCTTGGACACATTTTATCAGAATCTCTTGCCAGTTTACCCCAACTTGACAGCCCTCGCTGCAAAACTGTTGTGCATGTTTGGAACCACATATCTTTGTGAGCAAGTTCTCTGTAATGAGCATAAATAAAACAAAGCTGCGCTCAAGGCTCATGCACAAGCACTTGAATCACATCCTGAAGTTGGCTGCCACTCAGGATGTGACGCCTGATATTGATGCGCTGGTGAAAGCTAAAAGATGCCAGGTATCAGGAGTCAAATAAACTATGCAACCCCACTTAAAGTGCTGCATGAGACACCCTGATATAGTTCTGTGATCTGTGATATACTTCTGTGAATCACTGAGGCATTGTGTGTTTGTGTGTTGTTTGTCCTCAGAATTTCAAATAGCTTGAGGTGTTTTATGATTAATAGTGGACACACTGTCCTCAGGCTCCAGCTTTATGTTTATATGTTTTTATGTTGATGTGCTATTGTTTTTAATTGATTTTATTTTATTTGTATATTTAACCTATTCTTGACTCTGTGTTTCTTGCACTTGTTTGGGGAACAGGATTTCATTATTTGTATCTACATTTCTGCCTGAGAAATGACACCCTGGTTCTGTGATCTGTGAATCACTGAGGCATTGTGTGTTTGTGTGTTCTTTTTCTTTAGAATTTTCAAATAAACTTGAGGTGTTTTATGATTAATAGTGATGTTGTGCTTGTACTATTTTGGACACACTGTCCTCAGGCTCCAGCTTTATGTTTTATGTTGATAGTATTAAAACAAAGAAAACAATCTGAAGTTGTTGTTTTTAAGTTATATATACCATGATTTTACCGGTCCGGCCCACTTGGGAATAGATTTTCCTCCATGTGGCCCCTGAGCTAAAATGAGTTTGACACCCCTGGTCTAGTAGCTTTCCAATGGATAAAGAGGGGAAGTTCTTCTTGTTGGTGTGTGTGATTTATTTTGTATATAATACCTCCCAATTGACCAATCATCCATCATCGCTGTTGTCTATATTGGTGATGTGTAATTGGGGTCTTGAGTGCAGGGCTATCCTGCATCGTTTCACCCTGTTTCCCCTGTCACATGCTGATGACTTTAGAGTCGCTAAGACGCCATTAGTCACTTGGTGGGTGATTCCAGCCCAGGTTCCAGGCAGCGAGCCATTGCGCGGCTCGATTACCCCCAGTCCCACGAAACTGTGATAAATGTGGTAGAGAAGGCGGCACGAGAAATGCATTGGATGCCTTGTACGTTTTTTTTATTATTCTGCAGAGAATCGATCAGGGAAGAGAAGACATCTCTGTGTTAAATATAGAATCAATACCCTGTTGAAAAGACATGGACCTTGAGAATGTACGGGTGAGAGTGAGAGAGGATCCACATAACACTGTCTTGGATCTCAGCCCAGATTAGCCTGTTTGGGGAGATGGCTCTTTCTCTCCCAGACCTCCCTAGATGTGGGTGTTGTTAACTCAGCAGCAGTAACCCACAGAAGTTACCACTCAAAACGGGGCTTTTGGTGTTTTACTGTGTCATCCACTGTAATGTTAGTTATCATGAGCCAAGGTGCCACAGTGCAACAACTCCAGTTGATACAATATACAGTATGAGTCTTCCTTTGTCTTTTCAGATGACCATTAGGTTGCTTTGGTTTTCTCAAAGGCCTATAAATACACTGAGTATACCAAACATTAGGAACACCTTCCTAATATTGAGTTGCACCTAGGCTGTGATTGTCATGACATTTTGTCAGCCGGTGATTGTCAAGCAAATAACTGCCGGTTCTCACAGTGATTGACCGTTAATTAACATAAACACATTTCCAATCTCCTGGCTTCCACACATAGCCTACAAGCCACTGATGCAGACCTTTGGAACATCTACATTTTAAAAAGTCTAATAAATCCATGTAATATAGCCTACACCATCAAAATAAATCCATTATTTATTTTCGACTGGTCTAAAGAAATATGATATGAAGAAAATGTAGTCTATTTCAGAAGAACAGAATAGCATACTCTAAGTTGTCCTTATGTGTCACGTTTGTTGAGTACAGGATTGGACCAAGGTGCAGCGTGGAATGCATACATGTTTATTCACTAAGATAACACACGACAAAACAACAAAAGCAACGTAACGTGAAGCTCACAATGGCTACACACAAACAAGCCAAACAAGAGTCAAGATCCCACAACATAGGTAGGCAAAATGGCTACCTAAGTATGATCACCAATCAGAGACAACGATCGACAGCTGCCTCTGATTGGGAACCACACCCGGCCAACATAGAAATAGATATTCAAACCCTGACCAAACCAACTAGCGATGTCAGGGCGTGACAGTACTCCCCCCCCAAAGGTGCGGACTCCGGCCGCAAAAGCTAATTTAACAGGGGAGGGTCCGGGTGGGCATTTAGCCTCGGTGGCGGCTCCGGCTCCGGGCGTGACGTCCTCTCCCTTACTGCCTCCCCGTTGCATCCCTGGTCCGGTCTGGACCTCGGCACGATGTTTCCCCTCTCAGTCCTCCCACGATGCACCAAGCACTGTCTGGACCCTGGTGTGGGAGGCCCCGACCCTGGAGAGGAGTTGACATCTGGTTCTGGAGTGGAGCCGCCGACCGTAGCTGAACTGGACCCCAGTGGTTCGGACTGCTCTAGCTCTGGACTGGAGCAGCCGACCGGGGATGGACTAGGCACCGGTAGAGCGGACTGCTCTGGCACTGGAGTGGAGCCGCTGACCGGAGCTGAACTGGACCCCGGTGGAGCGGACAGCTCTGGCTCTGGACTGGAGCAGCTGACC